TAAACCGTAAGTTTAGCGTGCTCCGGATCCATTGACTAGATGCCAGTCCGCCGGAATCAGAGCTGCTTCCCCAATTTTCTAAATGGGTACAGAAATCGAGGATGCCATTTTGACTAATAGACCGCATTGTCGACGACCGCTAGTCTGAAGTTAAATTAGCAGTATGAATTAATTATAACTTATTATTAACTTTCTAAATTTTGATGACAGTTATTTATCAATGTAAAATCGTAGGTTATGCATACTCCGGATCCATGGACCATGTACCAGTCCGCAGAAATTAGAGTGGCTTCCTCAATTTTCTAAATGGTTACAGAACTCGAGTATGTGAGTCTGACCGACAGACTGTTTTTTAGATGTTGTCTAGTATGAAATCGTATTCATTATTTTAATTGCATTAACAGTATACGTTAATAGGGTAAAAATATGTCGTGATATATTACAAACAATTCTCAATATAGAAAATTAAGAAGGTATAGTGTCGTACTGCGATCCCTATGTTGTTGTGGTGGGTTCCTAGTGCGCTGGAACTATAGCTACTCGCTTAATTTTCTAATCAGGGACTGTAATTGAAAGTAACACTGGTCAAAACACATGTATATAAACGATCACATCTCTGAAATTTACATTGACTAGGTGAATTAAGTAAATTAAATTTACTTCCCAATTTTCGAACTAGTTTCAGAAATCAGAGACTTAATTACGGCCTCCTCTCTGCTGAAAAATATTTATTTACTATGTAAATATTGTATTAAAAGAATGTTTTTACATTAAACTATTTCTTAGGCAATATAAAGTCATAACAAAATATGTCAACTCAGCAGTTGAGAGTTTAATCTACTGCACCATTGACACTTTGCCCTGTTTAAGGGAGTTCGCAACTCGGGCCGGTGACTAGGTAGATAGCTGATAACTTTAAAGATGCAAGAAATAATTAGTTCTATTGAAATATTAGTATAATATATGAAAAAGCTTAGTACGAATGAATGAATGAATATTATTCATTTCAAATTATTATTATTTTATGATTATATCATAATCTGTTATCATGTTTAATGTTCTAATACTGTAAACAGGCAAGGGAGAATGCTAACCAACGATAGGTAGTCAATCCACCGGAGCAAAATACTATCTAACGTCAATAAATGTTCAATGTCTTAAATTTTTGTGTGATGTGTTGTAATGAGAACCTCTTTTGTCTTCTTCTGTCTGCATGATCATTCTGATAATTCAGCATGTATTTAAAATTACAGCTTTTTGAAAGGTATTTTTTCTTGTTGCCGAATTCCAGATATTTTTAAAATTTATGTATTTCTTAAATTAATGTATTTACAATTTGATATTATTATTTTTATACCCATTAATTTTTCGAGAATAGTCAAAAGAAAACATTAAATTAAGTAAATGTAAAATACAAAATCAGTACACATTAAACCACCATTAATCACATTTAGTACTAACTACTTTTTTAGTACTAGCCTAACCACTTTCAAATTTAAATATGCTTTGGAATTGGACCCGTGGAACTTAGACAGCACGTATCAACTCATACATGTTCCACTTCGCGGAGCCTCACCTAAGCGACTGTATCAAGGGTGACTCACATCCACCTGTCTTTTTTGTTGGTAATTGTATTTTACTGACACGGTTTGCTACTTTAAGTGCAAAAATGTGCTTACAACTTAACTGAAGCGTTGCCGTTGTTTAAAAAATTTAAACTATTATTCGAATAGGTACTTACGTAATATGATCCTTATAGTACCTACTTCTGTAGCGTTTTGTATTTACCTATGTACTATTATGTGTTTACCTAATTACTTTAGTAAAATATATGTCCCCCTATTCAATGCATAATTCGAATACCGTTTTGAGAGAAATTCGGGACCTCAGCATTATAACGTATTCTCAACTAAGCTCTTATTGCGGAGTTCAATAGACGTTCTCACGATGTAAGGTTTTCTTGAGGGGACTGTTATTTACTTACTGTTCATTCATTTGTACACACACATTGTGGGAATAAATAATACATGCACAAAACATATCTTCATTATATTCAATATACCTCTATCTCGAAAGTTTTTATCATATGCTTTGAATGTTTTCATCAATTTTGGTATCTGTGTCGATTAGGCATAATCCTATGCAAATATTTATGTTAATTTATAGCAATTTTTTACAATATTTTCACGTTTAAAACAAGTGTCATAGACGAAGCTTTCAAAATGTAAAACTAATATGGCATTATGTTAGTAGATGTCTTATTCTTCCATTACCTATTCACAATCTTCGTGTAGTAGTAATACTGAACCCATTTCCGCCCTTTCCATTCCTACAAACCATTATTTTGTCTGCCAAGTTCGGTCGCGTAATACCCGGCTTCATTATAAATACGAAATGCTACCGGATCTAATACAAGTAGTTAAAGTATCACGTACACGAACACACTACGTGACGAGAATTTAAAATGTTGCCTTTATGTCATTTCGTTACCGCATTATACTGCGTTAATGTAAAATGTAAGTGTTATATATTTTCATTTATGGATACAATACTACCGACAAGTTAAACAACTTTTTCTATAATTTTATATTATCAACGAAATCGTGCTTTACATAGGTCAATTTATATGTATATATTTACTTTTATTCAAGTTATTGAAGTGTTGCGATGCAAGTAAAAAAAAGAAAATAATCGTTTGATTTTCAAGGAACTGTATATGTACAAAACGTCTAAATCTAAATAATCTAAGAATGTAGGTAGCACAGAAATCTAAAGATTTCTGTGGTAGGTAGTACAAGTAATACCTAAGTATAAGTAGTAAAATATTATATTTTTCTTTCCACAGGTGTTGAATTAAACGTATATTTACGGTAACTAGACAAAGGCGTCGTGCACTTGTTCGGGGCTGGGGGTAGGGCAGTCATTAAGCGCTTCCGAGGGCTCTGGCCGGATGCCGCCGTCACGCGTCGCCGCTTGTGCATGACGGGCTTGCCTCACCACGCTAACAACCCGACCGCTTCTAATGCTACCCCACCACGAACACGACGGAACAACGATTGACCTTTTTAACACGGCCGTTTAAAGTATTTTCGGGTCGTGATTCACAGTTTGCGTAACCTTGGTGAAATTATAAATTATACATAGACATATAAGTTATAATACGACTGCCTATCTACGGCTTGTTCGTAATTTCTAATTAAAAGTGTTGCAAAAGTAAAACGAGACTTGTAGCTCAATGGCCTTCATCACGCATGTTTGGTTCCAGCCTGCTGCTTCGACACATGAGAACACAATAACACAACCTAGGTAATCTGATATACCATAATCAAGAGCGGAACTACTGAATGTAATTAATTAGAATATGGAAATCACTATACATTCAACAACGGCAACGTAACCCGAACGCAAAAGTGGGCAAGACTACCCAAGTCACAATAGGTATAAAAAAATCGTCAAGAGCAAGTAGTCCATACTGATGAACTTTTGTGATTCGCGATGACTATAAACAGATATTTACGAGTACATTCTCAAAAAAAAAAAAAAAAACCCAATATTGTAATATTGGAACATTTTCCCCGTAATCCATAGATACACACAACTCCTTCAATCGTCACATATTTACTTAGATTCCATTTCGCGAAAATAAAATAAATATTATTTCCCCAAAAGTACTGATAATTGAATCATCAATAAATGTTTCATGTCAAATATACCTATCCTTAAGCCATTAATTGTAATTGTTAGGCATATAATAACAAAAAGTAATACACTAATCATTTACAACACTAACTTTTACGAACAATTTAGACGAGAACGAAATTGTTTACATCACAACATAGAGTGTGAAAAAATTTCAATCGAATCACTTTTTTACAGAAGTGCAAGCGTAAATATCAAGTCACTAGTAATGATAAGTAGTAGTCAATAATAATAGACAGACGCGGTAATATTAAGAAAAGTATGGTTTAACAAACACAAAGAAAAACTTTTTCGCCAAATCGGGGCTACTCTCCCCACTGAGTTAAGAAATGAGTTAGCAGACCTTACGAACCTCTCTTTGTGCTATGTAAAAACAGCATCAATAGATCAATAATTATAGATATGATACTTTGCGATACTACATATCTCGTTGCTAAAAATACAGTTTAAGGTGTCTGCTTTTGACCAATTAAATATTAACATGGATGGATAGTACCCTAACATCATAATTGCTTGTACGAATCATTTATCATTCGTGTCACATCTCACTTTTTATGGAATTTTATTTGTTTATCAGTTACAAAAACGGTAAATTTACAATATATCGTTCTTGTTAATATCCGCTTTGTGGCTATTGTCTCTATTGTATCATTTAAATTTCCTGTCCCTACGTAGATTAATCACGATTAATTTCTGTTTATTAAACAATTAAAATCCATTAGATGGGATAGTGTAAAATGGTCCAAACTCTCAGGTCATAGTGTGCGTATCGTGCTGTTATTGGGCTGTTCAGATAGAGAAGAATTATTTTTGTATTTAGTTGTTGAATAGTTTAGCATAGAGGAATAGCGGTTACTCCAATAAACATAACGGGAGCAGTGCAACTTTTTACATTATTCGCATAGAGGTCAATCACGATTGTTTGAAGCAAAAGCGTGGGATGTCTGTGACACTGCCATTCAGACACCTACGTGTGCACTTCTTACACGTATTCGTGCCTAAACAATAAATAATGCCGGAGCGCTAAAGGCACCGTTATACTAAGCTTTTTTATCGCGTCTAGGTGTAGATACCTATCATCTTTATTACGTTTTATATTAGAAAAACGAATTATCTTGTAACGAATTACAACTTTAACTGTTGAACTAAACAGCGACATTTTATGTCTGACTCAATTTGGTAAACTTAGCTGGCTCAACAGTCATTAGGTGAAAGCTGATCACAATTTTAGCCAACGTTATATTTGATTAGAATATAATGATAAGACTTAAACTAACGACAGCAATCATTCTTTGTTACAGGTTCCAGAAACCATGGAGCTTGTTACTCAACTTTCAAAAACCGTTAATATGGAGCAAATTGGCAAAACTATGAAGACTCCCGACAAGACGAATTTGAAAAATTCTAATCTTCATTGTACCGAAGCAACAGTTTTGAACATGGAAGTCGAAACACTGAGGTGGCAATTGACACAGGTATCCTTTTTAAACTTTAAAGTATTATTATATCAATGATACAGATAGTATGATCTAATAAGTTTTGCGGTATAACTTAGCGTAATTCGTGACCGAGAATTATGTCTTGCAATTGACGCGATTTGATAAGTTTTATTGGATGTATTTAATTGAAAATATACTAATTCCATAACTAATTTTCGTGTTAGAATACCAATGTTATGTTTGAACTGTTTCCAGACGGAAGCTAACAGGCAAATGCATATAGCGCTACTGAAGCAGATTGTAGCTTTTCTGAACAGAGTTAAGGAGCACATTGAATCACAAAACGAGATGAATAAGACCAAGACAACGATAGTGCCGGGTAGACTTTCAACAAGCTCTTTCAGCACGGCCGACTTACCTCGGTCGCTGTCGGTTGTACACGTAAACAGAAACATAGAAATTACTACAAATTCGGCCAAAAAGATTAATACTAGGAAAATCAGTAAATCAATTAGCAATGTCAACGGTTTCATGGACTGCAGCAAATTTTGGTAATGAATTAATTAATTTGGTATTTTTAAATTTTAACAAGTTAAAATAGTTTTAATCAAATATGCAATTCTCCTTTTACCCAATTCCAGGAGCCAATCAAAAATATCTTTGACGTCCAATAATGAAACATCTCAAAAGATATCAGAAGAAATGTCCAGGTTGATCAATCTTGCCAATACCGTACTAAGTACAAATCTGCCGGAGCTCTCGTCTACTTGCAATGACAATGCCACTAATATGGTAACTTCTTCGTTTAAAGTTGACGACAGTACTTTAAACGACGACGTTAAAAAGTCGAAAGACTCGGCTGTTGCCTTAACACTCATTGAAGAGGACAGTACTTTTGAAATGCATGGAACACAAATGAGTGAGCTTCAAAGACACTATTTTGATAAGTTCCCCATAAAGCCGCCAAATCTGGGTAAATCCGACGACGACGAAATTAATATTAAGATAAATGAAGTCAACTATTCTGCACCAAGAGCCGAATCAGAAAAAAATACGACACGCAAAATAACTATCGACAGAAAGAACGACTTCAATTCTTCCCAGTTTATGGAAGATGAAAGTGGTTTCTCTTCAATGAGTTCGTTCCAAGATATTGGAATACCGATAATAAGTATCATTCCTCCCTCGCCTTGTAAAGAAGTTGGTTATATGGTGGATATGCCCGACATTATAGAAGATTCGGAGAAATGGAAGACTGATACGATAGAACTTGGGAAACAACCTGTGAAAGTCTTTTGGGTATAACATTGTACAAATGTGTCAAGTAGATTCTTTAATAAAATAGTATTTAGATACGGTATACCTACGGTTTTGAGGCTAATATGGTAGATTTTTTGTCCGTAACTAATACGAGTATAACGGTAAAAAGTGTTTTCCACTTTGTGTAAGTTATAACGTTGAGTATTGATGCTGATGAGAACAAATAAAAAATTTGAGTTTCTTGAAAATGGTTTTTAATTTTTCATGTTATTTAAAATGTATAGAAATAGTTTCTACTTGAATTGGAACCCACGGAGGGTGAGCGGGAGGGTGAGAGGGTGCTCTTAAAGGATGGAAAAAAATTGCTGTACTCAAATTTTTCAAGGTGTAGCCCTACTGCCAATCTTAGATTTTAATTTTTCTTGATGAAGTGGAGTTGAAAACCACCTTAGAAAATTAAATCTCGTTAATGAGGTTATGATGACATGTGTTTAAGTTTTGCATTACCGGATGTTAGTTTTTTATCTGCTTGTTCATGAGCTTACGTAGGGTGAAATCGAAATCATTAGCATCAACTTTGACATAATACTAAAGTTAAGACAGACGTTACAAGAAATCAAAAATACAAATTTAGTTCTGTGCCTACCTACGCACAACTGTGTTTAATTCCAGGATGGAAATATTTAATAATTTACTATACCTTGACATATACACTCATACGTACGCTGAACTACTGGACTCAAATCTATATCAATTTTATGACTACGACATGTTTTACAAACATTACGGTTCAATAAAGAACTATGGTATGAAAGTAATTTTTGAGAATATAAACAAAATTATAATTACTGACAAAGAAAAAGTGAAAAATGAACCCAAACAAAAAATCAAAACTGAAATACGGCCCTTGTAACAATAATTCGGATTTTTTTTAAGATACAACCAGTACAACATTGTAATTCCAAAAGAAATTACGAACAACCGAAAAAGGGAACTATGCCGTATTATTTCAAAGTTGTAACTGATAAGAATATTAATAATAATGATAAAGCATCAGTAAAATATTTTCTTTCCTCAAGAGACAGTGAGAGAACTTTGCATAGTGCACCTGGTTGCTTACCCCTGAGGCATAATAGTGATATTTTTTGTTTGCTCCATCCTGTAACAGTAACCTTTCTTTTTATTCGCTAGACTTCTAATATTTTGATGGAGCTAATAAATAACTTCACCAATTAGAGGAGGATAACTGAATTATTGTGGACAGCTTATGCTTGACATAATACTTTGTACAGTCAGGTGATGAGTGTAATCTATATCTTCCGGGATATCACTTAACTGCCTCATATACGCGAAATAAATTAAAACAAAATAAAATTAATAGTAGGAGTGGATGTTGTATATATGTATATAAGTAAACGTTTAGAATTCAGTGAATTGCAGTATGTAAGGGCGTTAGCGGTACGCAAGGCTTTTGAGTGTTGTGGTGTGTTATTGCCCTTTGAAAACATTATAATATTATGTATTTATGTGGTACCAGGCCATGAAAATGTTGATATATTTTTCGAAAAATTAAATTTATTACTGTGTAAACTATCGACTACTCAAGAACATAAAATAATAATTTGTGGGGATTTTAATATTGATATAATTACAAAAACAAAGTATTTGACCATTGCTAAGAACTTTTTAAGCATACTGAACTGTTGTAACTTTCATCCCCAAAGGGAGCCTACTAGAATAACTCTTATATCAAAAACTTGCATTGACAACATAATTTGTAATTTTAATATGGTAGACTGACATATATGAATTAGAATTGTCGGATCACACAGCGCAGACTTTAACTATTAAGATGAAAAGAAAATCACCGTTGAAGTTTTGGTACAGAACAATTAAGTAAAATAAGTGTAAAGTGTCACGGAACATAATAAAAAATTATACAGGTTATTATAATTGTACAGTAATTTGCCACAAACAATCAAATCTGTTAGGGTTAATGATGTAGCACCGCTGATCTTCAGGAAATTGCTACTGGTTTCAATAACTTTTTCATAGAATCTTTACGGAGTGTGCAATGTTCTGAACTAAATAATATCTATAATAATATAGATATTAATCCCTCTACCATCTACGTTCAGTTAGACAATAGAAAAGAGGTTTTTAATGAAATTAAATCATTGAAAAACACGCCATCAGTGGAATGTGATGGGATTTGTACACGAATTCTAAAAGAAACGGCTACATTAATTGCATCACCTCTTTCACATATTATGAATTTATCGGTTCAAAATGGTACATTTCCGACACATCCCAAGTTTTCCATTATCAAGCCGTTATACATAAAAAGGCGATAAAGAAGTGTTAATTAATTATAGACCAGTGACTCTAATCCTAATTCTCGCAAAGATATATGAGCATTATGTCATCATCATCATCATCATTCAGTCATACGACGGCCACTACTGGACATAGGCCTCCCCCAACCATCTCCACGACGATCGGTCGTGCGCTGCCAGATCGTCGATCCACCTCGTGGGGGGCCTATCCACTGAGCGTCGTCCGGTGCGCGATCACCAATGAAGAACATTTCCGCCCCAACGGCCATCAGTTCTCCTAGCTATGTGCCCCGCCCACTGCCGCTTCAGATGAGCAATTCTTCGAACTATGTCGGTTACCTTAGTTCTCCAAAGGATTTCCTCATTTTTGATCCTATCATGTAGGGAAATACCGAGCATTGCTCTCTCCATTGTCCGCTGAGTGACCTTAAACCTTCTTATGAAGCCTATATTGAGGGACCACGTTTCTGATCCATATGTATCACTGGCAACACACACTGATGAAAGACTTTCGTGTTGAGACACTGACTTGAACGCAAAGATTTTTTTTGCGTCTCTCGTTGACTCGTTGCAGTTGGATAGGATTAGAGCTCTGATCCTGTAATCGGACTGACATAGTGGCGTTTTCGTATAAGTACACTTACATCTCGATATACCTATAAAAGCATTCCTTCTCATAGTCTTCGGTCTTCTTATAGATATGGCTCAGAAGCGAGATTGGCGAATAGTTCTTCAAGAGTGTTTTATCTCGCTTCTGCCCCATGCCTTGACGTTTGACCTTCGATGATGACAGAATTAAAAAGCTTCTGGAGGACTTTAAGTATCGGCTTGTCCCTCGCTCTCAGAAGTTCTGTTGTGATTCTATCATCGCCCGCCGCTTTGTTGTTCTTGAGTTGTTTGAGAGCCACACTAATCTCATACAGGCTGACGTCTGGGGCATCTTCGGTATAATGTCGGGTAAGCTTGGCTCTGGGGTCTTTAGCCTCGCTTCAAAAGGTGCTTTCGAGAAGTATAGCTGTCTATAGGAACTCTATATCTCCCTCAGGATTTCAGGCTTAGTTGAAATGATGCTACCGTCATCAGTTTTCAGCTTCGTCAGCTGGCTTTGCCCAATAGACAGATCTCTCGCGAACACCTTAGAGCCTTTGTTCCGCTCAGTGGCCTCTTTAATACGCTCTGTATTAAATTGGCGTATGTCGCTAATCAAAGACTTCGATATCTGCCTATTTAGCCGCCTGTAGCAACTTACATCATCTGAGTACTGTAGCCTCATTTCATGTTTCTGCTCCAAGAGTTGGAGTGTTTTGTCAGAGAGTTTCTTCATTCTGGTACGGTGGGTTTTGAAAAACTCGGACCCAACAGTATGGACAGTATCCACCACCACGTTGTTTAGATCTCACACATCTATGCTGTTTTCGAGGGCTTCGAAGCGGTTTTGAAGTTTGAGTTGAAAGCTCTCGGAGTTTTGGAGTTGTGCAGGTATTGATTGGAGCGTAGACTTTATCAGTCGAGATTTTTCAAGCCTGATATTGATGTTCAATATGCCTCCTAACAACCGGTGATCACTTGCTGTTTCAACGGTGTTGACCACAGAGACATCATTGAATATATGCTTTTTCGTCGACATGATAAAGTCAATCTTATTTCTTACTTTACCGTCCGGAATCATCCAGGTTTGGATCATAATCATCCATTTCAAGTTGGAGATTTCCTGAAAAAGGGCTTCATCATATAGAGGTTCTCCTTTTCCACGAAATCAATCAACATCCGGCCTCTAGCGTTCCGTTGTCCAACTCCAAATTGCCCCACTCTCAGCTCATCACCGCAACGCTTTCCCAACTTTGCATTGAAGTCCCCCATCACAACCGTGTAGTGGGTTTTGTAGCTATGCATGGCTTTTGAGATCTCCTCATACATACCCTCCACTTATACATCGTATTATGTACAAAAGATTAATAGATTTTTCTGATAAATTTAATATAATCGTCAATGAACAGAATGGCTTTCGTAAGAACAGACCAACAAATCTTGCAATGTTTCAATTGTTGAAAACCATACACGAATGTATCGTATTGATAAGAGGTGTGATGTATCAGCAGTTTTTACTGACAATGTCGAAGGCATTTGACTGTTTACATCATGACATACTACCGAACAAAATGGAAAGACACGGAATAAGCGGTAAACCGCTGAATTGGTTGATATCATATTTAATTGACAGGCAGCAATGTACCGAAGTGGCATATTTCTGTAATTAAACAAACACTGTGATGTGTAAGTAGATCCGACTACAGGAAGAATAACAGAGGCATCCCCCAAAGTAGTATTCTGGGACCACTTCTTTTTCTGTTCTACATTAATGATCTTCCAAGAAGTATTAGTAAATAAAGCACTTGCTGACGATAGCACTGCTGTTAAAAAATGTGAATACAAAAAGCAATACGATCGCGACATTAATAAAACTGTAAATTACGTCATAGGATGGATGAATGGAAATGGTCTCAGTATAAACTTAACAAAAATTAACATCAAGCAATTTCAATCGTCTAAAAGGCTATCGATAGAGTTAAACATCTAGTTTAATCTTGTTAATATAGAACAAGTTAAACACACAAAACTTTTGGGCCTTATCCTTGACAGCAATTGCAACAAGAAAGTCCATTTCGAGAACTTGTGTAAGAAATTGTCACGGTTTATGTGCCCATTGAGAAAATTTGTACAGAAGGCGTCTGTGGATGCGGCCTTAACAGCTTATTTTAGTTATGTGGAGTCGGTTATGAATTACGGCATCGGCAGCGGAAACTCAGTAGAGTTTATGCAGGTATTTAAATTACAAAAACGCTGTGTACGTATCATTTACGGTGGGTTTCAATTGGAATCGTGTAAGCTATTTTTCGACAAGTGCTAAATCTTACCATCACCCTGCCTGTACATTAAGGAGATTGCTGCATTCGTCCAGAAACACCCGTCATATTTTAAAATCGCAGATAAAGATTTCATGTCTTAAATTTCTTTGGTTCCTTTTATCTGTATTTCCACCAATATAAATATACATTTATGTTGGTGGAAATTCGTAAATGGCATTGGATTACTCATATTTAAGTATACTATAATTGTATTATTTGTCCGTGAATTTTCCTAAAATGTATAAATAAATAAAATAAATAAATAAATAGAAAGAATGGTTTACTCGGGCAGTCATAACTCAGCATTTTACCACAAAGCTTTTAGGTAACGTCGTACAAAATATACAACAGCATTCCGAATGAATTTAAAATATTAGAGTACATAAAATTTAAAAATGCTCTTAGTAAATGGTTAAGCACTAAACTTTTTTATAGGGTAGAAGAGTTTTTAACAACTATAACAAATTTGGTGACTAGCGATGTGACATATTTATTAATAATTGTTTTTTTTCTCATATTGTGATGTAATTAATTTTATTCTGTGACATTTAAATGACATTATATACCTTAACTGGTAGACTATAGAGCACAAACCAATGTAATATTTTAAGATTAATATTTTAAGACCTTATGTAATTACCCATAGTTATGCAATAAATGTATTCTCATTCTTATTCATTATTGCTAATTAAAAGTAGGTACTCTAAAACATTTCTTTGGCTGAGTAGATCAATACATTCAACGGATGCTAATGATTTCATAATCACCCTGTATACATGTTGCAGCCAGACATACTGCCATACGACTGAGAGACAGCCATAAGAATCGCATTAAAAAAATGTATTTCACCTAAAACCATAATATTACTTAATACGTAAATACTAAGAAGTGGTTATGGTAACACTGCCGACTATGGACACTTACAAGGAAACTTTTTAATGTTGACAAGATATTGGATTCTATGTTTAAATTATTATATTTTTGATTCTTGTTGTCACGATATATCAACATGTCACGCTTTAAATAAAAGAAAAACACAACTGAAATGAATTTTTGAAAAATTAAATTTTTTGTAAAAACAATATCAAGTTGGACATTTTTCAAAATTTTTCCCATTTACTTATATTGGAATTTATAAATTTTTTGTGACTATGGCGGCATCTAATGACGACGATAGGGCGAGTGGAGATGGTGCGTCCGAAACGAAAATTGCACCAACTCCTGAAGAACCCGAACCTCCCAAAGTTCCTGACGTAGAACTCATCGTTGATGGTTTTGGCTTCATGCCCAAAAGCTTGCAAAGACAAGATAAGCGAACTTCCAATGTGTTCGATAAGTCTGCTAAGGCTCTAAAAGATATCTTGCTACCAGAACCTGAAGAGGGACGGAGTCCATGTGCTTCAAGTACTAATATTGACATCGTTAGAAGGTATACGTGGAAAACGAAAAACAGAATGACTGTTCAGGTTAGATCATGGTGCTTTTTTAACATTCTGTCAACCAGGACGTATCAGCTCTTTGCACAAATGCACTTGATGTCCAGGTCATAACATATGGAGCGACTTTAACAAGCATTCAAGTTCCTGATAGGAAAGGAGTACCGGATGACGTCGTGGCAGGTTTCGATACTCTTGAAGGTATAACGCTTTAATTCTAAAATTATAGTATTTATAAATAAAAGTTTACTCGCAAAGTTTATTAATTATTTATTGCCATTAGAGTATTTTTCGTCACGGAACCCTTATTTCGGAAGCACGATTGGGCGAACCGCTAACATAATATGTGATGGTACGATGGTAGTCAGGCCATCTGGAAGAATTTATATGTTATCTACCAATAAGGGACATCACCACTATCACGGCGGTTACATTGGATTTGATAAGGTTAGTATAACTAGAGATAATTTTAAAGGTGAGAAAATTGTTTCTACAGCTAATTAAATAAACAACACGCTAATTCAACATCACGTTCGAGATGATTCTGCATCCATCATAATTTTGCATTGCATATTTTGACGATATCAGTCTGTGTGCCATAGCATGAAATTTATCTATAAAGGTATACAACAGCACGATTGTTGATGAACTATAGCAGTCAAAATGGAAAGCTTGCCGCATTTAAACTATTTACAATTGTCAGGTAAACTGGCGTTCGTATGTGACCGGAAACAAAGTGATAATGAGCCACGTATCGGAGCGGTTTACGGAAGGCTATCCCGGCACGGTACTTGCTCAGATCGCCTTTGAAGTCACCTGCGATAACACTATTAAAATTGAGATGAGATGCACCACTAGCGAGCCAACTATCGTCAATTTGAGCAACTGTCCGTATTTTAATCTCGCTGGACATGTAAGTATTCTTGTGAACTTTTTGAAAGTATTGAGTTGGCCAAAAACTCGGTACCTATAAGGTAAGATCACGTGGGGTAAGTAGAACATACTTTGAGTCAAATGTCTTGAGCTGTAGGAAGAACAAATTTAATATAAGAATTTGGAGTAATACAATAAACTTTCAGCTTTATTTGTTCTAACAATCTTACACTAGATTCAATACTTGCAATGTATTTGTCGAAAACGTGCATAGTGTGCTAAGATTTCTCTTCCCCAAAAAGATAGGGTAAGAGGAACAGTACATCGTATTTCCTAAAAAGGTAATGTGTATCTTGTGTTATCAAAATTTCACAATTATCAAATTTGTTTTTTCCACTTCTTGAGTATGGAGCATCGTCTTAAAATTATTTAAACTAATTTGTTTGCCTATTTTATGGAGAGACTATACCTACTGCTAAACTTTTTAGATTGTAAGTTAAGAGGCTTCAAGTCCCTCTTCCTCTGACCATATAATTAAAAATAATTTAAATTACTCTCGGTATGTAGTACTAAAAAAGTTGATATACGCGATAACTCAATATATATATTGAGGCTCTATCCTGAAGTGGATACTGTTACAAGAGTGGCGGACATCTTTACAGGACAATGCACAATCGCCAATAAATAAGACTCAATTATTTGTGTAAATCAGAAGTCAGTCAGTGTTATTTGTGTAAATCAGAAGGTTTTTGTTTAAGATTTTTTTACAATAATCAGAAAATAAAACATTAAATTTTTCTTCGATCAAAATAAAATCAATAGATAATAAACGTCAAGCTATCGTAGCTAGCAGCGACAGAGTCCAAGGAGGCGCTAACATACTGCCCCCCTCGAGGAGGTAGAGCCTCGAGAATAAAAAAGGCTGCTTCAGATTTCGCACTTGACAACTATTTTTGTTATGTTGTATTTTATCTCAAAATTGCCGTATATTAATAATTTATCACCAAAATTTCGCTATATTTATGTGTCATGCGTATACGATTTAATTTCAAAGTGACAGGAGAACACTGTGGCTTTAAAACTAAATAACTTAAAGCCATTTTGAGATAATACTATGTTAGTTGTCATGTGCGATTTGGGTAAGGCACATAGCCTGCGGACGGCTCGCCGTATGGTTCCTCGTCCTGTAAAGATGTCCGCTACTCTTGTAACATTGTCCACTACTAGATATTATATTATATATATTTTTATCGAATTGAGAACCTCCTCCTATTTTTGAAGTCGGTTAAAACTAAATGTCGTGCTTAATAAATTTTACAGTGTTCTTTTTAAAATACTAACAACCTTTCATGATTAGATAGCTAACATCCTAAACAACAACTTAGGGGAAATAACTGCACGGCTATTTTTAAGATCATTGCCTCACGGATTTGTTAACCCATTATTACCGCTATAGTACATTTGTTTAGGTACTTAACTAAATGTAAACAATCTTGATACATCTTTTTATTGAAACATATACTTTACAAACCAATACCTAGGTACAAAAATAGACATGCAATGTCATATGAAGCGAAGTTATTTGTATTTTGTATTTGAAGGTAAGTAAAAATCATTTTATAAATGTATAACTTCATTAAATAGACATTTAAAGATTATTTACATTTAGGCGATTAACACACTGCACCGCGCCCCGCGTCGGAGCTGCGTTTTTTAACGTTGTTCTGAAGTACCTCAGTTTGTATGAAAAACACGCGCCGTCGAACACACTGACAACGCTTCTCCGCGCGGGAGTGCGGCGCGCGCGCGCGCTGTTTTACCGCGCCCCCGCGCGGAGGGGCGCGGCGAACCGCAGAGTATGGCACTCTGCGCTCCGCACTACCGTGCAGATTTTTAATCAATTTGTGTCTATTCCAGTAACTGTCGTTCGGATGTTCCCTAACAAATAATCAAAGGATTCAGTTGACATTCGTGTGTAGTTGAAAAATTAATCTTCATATTTTCTTTAATCTGTGTAATGAAGTTGAATGTTATCTTCTTCGTCTTTTTATTTGAGTAAACAAAAACAATCGACAGTATAACTGTAGCGTCCTGAATGAGTTCTGTATTATTTACCATTCTTGTCAATGAAGGATCTCAGTTACATGTGCAATCACTACGGCGATCAACTACGAAGCGAGTACTTTGAGTGGCGCGGGGCCGCTAGACGCAGGTCTGTGTCTCCGCTATCGCGCGCGTGATTCTGCGTCTCGCGCACAAGTCGCGTGACGCGGTGCAGTGTGTTAGTCGCCTTAGTTAAGTACCTAACCAAATGGACTATAGCAATGGATTCTTGATTGTACCTAAACACAAAAAAAGATAAGTATTTGTGTTATAAAAGCCGTAATATTTAAATTTGCAGCACGCTGGATGTGAAGCGATATATGATCACATGTTCACCATAAACGCCGACAAGTACACAGTTACAACTGAAAGCGGTGTAGTTACAGGTAATTTCGACACCCTTGCCTTTTTAGTTCACTTTTTATGTTATCAAAATAGTATCCTGTAACATAGATACAATAAAATGGATTAAGCGCAACTGCATATAAACAGTTGCATCGCAGATATATTGAATTTTTCACTTCTTATGATTGATTTACGTTGCATTAGTTGAAACCCATTTCAGATAGAATAAGTGCGGTGTGGCGTTTGATATTTTTACATTGTACACTTATGTACCTACATACTTTTTTTTACTGATTTCCTAGTAAACAAAAATACTAAATTTATTATAATAGATGTCAAGAAGTTCATTTGTTGTAATTTTAATGTTGGGTAATTTTCTGAAACGTTGGAAAAATGTAGTTCGAAGACTCATTATCTTTGGCTCGTATTATGTTCTACGTTTAGATATATATTTTGAAGTTTTATAAAATAAATTTGTATGGCTAGAAACAATTTGAAGTGAAACGAAATTTAAAATGATTGGACAATAGCTAAAAGAAAAAAGAATCATGGTAGTAAAAAAATCTGTTTGCTCCATCGTTTTCGTTCATTAGCTTAAAGTTTGACAGGTGTCAACTGTCAAATGTGGAAAAATATGGGAAAAACATTCGAAGAAACATTTATTTTTCTGAAAATTATAAATTTCTTCGTGGCCCCACACTATGGGCGCATAAAATGAAATAATGAACAAATATTATATAAGCCCAACCACTGGATGCGTGAAACGGATTTCTATCCATAGACAATTACTATACAGTGACTTGTATACATATCGATAACAGTTCTGCTTCGAAGGTATGCCATTCGTGTTTTACATCGAAAATTAAGCGAGGTCATTGTTTGGACTTAACATCGCAGTTTAGGTAGGTACTGTATCAAAAATGTTGATATTGCTACGTATCGGATGTGAATAAAATCACTGCCAACGACTGGAAGAATGTAGTGAGGAAAAGGGTAAAAGGAAAGCGTAGACAAAAATATTAATATAAACAATAATAATAATGAAATTCATAATAAATATAAGTAGTTTAGACGAGCCACATTGATGTCGGAATAGGAATGTAAATAACGTAATTTTAAGCATAAAACTGTATATCATTTTGTTACTTTTTTAAGTTTTATTATTTATTACTAATTATGACATTTCTTCCACAACATTTATTCAATAACTGGTATTTAAAAAATCGATAAGTTTATCATTTCTCAATGTTTCTCGAGAAGACAATATGGTTAGAATTAGTATGTATATGTACATACATTTACATCACTTAGCGATGGGCGAGTCGAGTTATTTAACTCGATTAATTCGAGTTACTCCTACAACGACTCAACTCGAGCTACTTTTTGTGATCTCGAGCAAGCTCGGTTCGGTTCCCGCGCCGAGTAAAGAGCACGTCAAGCTTGACACTTTGGACCGTTCCTCATAGAGTTAAATTTAAGCCTTTAGTGTCAAGCTTGAGGTGCTCTTGACCCTGTACTTATTGTTACAGCGCGTCGGCTATTCATTCTCACACGGTCGATTCGGCGACTTTCGGAGCACGCCCGAGTCGCGGTCGGCCGATCGTGCCTAACTCGGCGAATCGTCGGTTCGAGTTTTACTCGCGACTCGCGGTTGTTCTGTCAGATACCGAGTCGAGTTAGCAGTCACGTCAACTCGAGTAACTCGAGTTGAAGAAAAATACAACTCGTCCCATCACTGCATAAATAATAGCTGTCATCCAGTATTGCCAATTTGTGGTGAATTCCCCAAATTCGGGAATTTTAACTCAATTGGACAGTTTGTGGGGTTTGGCGCTGTGGCGAAAATGCGGAGATTCTAAAATTTTATCATTTTGTTTAATCTATCGATTGCTGATGCATCGCTAGTTTGATAGTGACTGATAAAAACACTATTATGTAACGATATTGATATATTTTCAACATCGCACAAACCCCGCATTCTTGATAAGCTGCTTATATAGAATTATATTCGGGGAAGAACTTTAGTAAACGGGACGTCAAAAGGGGTGAGAGGGGCAGTGGGGAGGAGACCCCCCTGCAAAATTTCAAAGTTAAGACGTTGATAGTTATCGAGATATTCATTTTTGAATATTCCAAAAAATATATATATATATATATATATATATTTTCGCACCAAATGCACGGGAAAAAGAGTAAAAAATGTGGGAAGAGGGGTAGGCGAGGGGAACCCCCCAAGAAGTTTCAAACTAAGAATATTAATAGTTAAAGAAAAAAAAATTGTGAAAAATAACCTGAAAATGATATATTTTGTCGTTTAGTGCACACACGGATTCCAATATCTACCTATATCGATCCAATTCGTTTTTGCCCAGAAAGACTTCTGCGTTTGTATTAAAAAAACCTAACCTAAACAATCCAATTCGTTTCTGCCCAAAGGGACTTCCGCGTTTTTATAAAAAACACCTAACTTAAGCTAAATAATCCAATTCATTTCTGCCCAGATGGACTTCCGCGTTATACAAACTTAACCTAAATAATCCAACTTATTTCTGCCCAGAGGGACTTTCGCGATTGTAATAAAAAAAAAACCTAACAATCTTTACACACAACAAACAACAACATAAACACGCAGTAAAAACACTCAGTAAATGTCTAGAACGCTACAACATAAACACGCAGTAAAAACACTCAGTAAATGTCTAGAACGCTTACCGTGAAAAGCCAAGAGAAATAAGAAAAAAAATAAACGCGATAAATGACGTTGCGTTTTATTGTTGAAATTACGAAATAGTTATTGAATTATCATTACTGTTTCAAAGTAACCTTCTTCAGAAATAATATTTTAAATATAATGTAAATGCTATTAAATAGTGTTTAAAAAACCAATAAAACACAATAAACTTTCAAAATTTAAAAACACTGGATATCATTACAGTGGAATGTCGAAACACAAGACATTAAATTGCGTCCGCGTGCTTTTTTGACATAATTTTCGGATTAGGTAGTTGTTAAATGCGTTTTTTTGCTTAAATTTTCACGATTTTCAAAAATTATTTTCTCGAAAACCTTTGGGGTCCTAAAACTGAAAATTTGTAGAGAGGTTCCTTTTGATTAGGTCTATCTCCAGAATTTGAACGCCCAACTCGACGTCACGTATACTAAAGTTGAGCCATATTCGGTACGATCAGAGCACTTGGTTCTGAATTGTAAAATTACCAGTCGGTGCGTGTTAAGTGCGCGACTTTTTCTCCCGCTTAGGCTGATCCCCCATACCTACGAAGAAAAACCAAATCTGCTATTGCCATACAAAGCTGAGCATTTGGTATTTCCACACCACAACTTGCCACTCATCAACCTTAGATACTAAATTTAATTTACTCATTGATTATTTGTAACCTTACTATAGTGTCACCAAATGCGCAACAAACAATTATGTTACTTAATATGTAAGGCTGAGATAAATTATTTATGTTTTTTCAATGACTGATTAATGTTGACTCTCATTATAATAAATGGTTTACGGTCATTTAATTATATAATTATTTGCATTACATTCTGTTTGTAATTTACATTCACAAATCGTAATAGATAGTTACAGTTTGTGTTTCTTAATTCTTTGTTATAGTTTTAAGCGATGGATTTATAATAAATAACGAGAACTCGAGAATTTGTGAACTTTGCTCTCCCCAAATTTGGGGTATTTTTACCTTGATTTTTAGGGAGTTTGGTATCGGCAACGCTGCTGTCATCCTACACAATCCTGTATTATGTATTGGTTGTGTTAAAAACATTATTTGATGTTTACATTATCATCTCGTGATTCTACCAATAAACGTTGTTGGTTTGTATTCTAAATAAGAACACAAATAAGTACTAAATCAAGCAAGAATATCGACGAGGGATGGCAACGAATAATGTCTGTTACAACATTTGCAAAAGCAAAAGCTTTGCAATGAGAATGACCGACTCCAAAGTGAGCGCACAGACTGGCCATTAGGTTTGTCAAAACACGTGATAGACTGGTAATCCCACTTGCACAATCTGGTCCTACCACAACTTATTGAATTGTGGGTTTACACGAAGTAAGGACGACCAATAACATCAGTGTAGAGTTTCCTTGTGACTAGATCTACCTCAAAAAGTAATATTAAGACCCAACTTTACGGCAGCTATTCTTAAGTTGAGCCATTTATCTCATTGATTCTGTTCTCAGCAATACAGTAGATTATTTAAGAGGTTTATAGAGACCTAGAATATACTGCTAGTAATCCCACCTCAAAGTGCTCAATCTGAACTTCAGTCAACTGATGATGCATTGTAGTTGAGTTTAATGATTTTACACATTAATCTTCATACTGTCGTGAGTTTTTGTTGGGAAACTGCATAGAGTATATAACCAGAAATAAAGACGAAATGACATTTAATTGGTTTGAAAACTATTCTGCCATATCATTACTGTGACAACTGAGCTCTGATTGGCCAGCCCGTATTCTAAACAATTGACGGGTGTCGTCAATTGTTTCACTTCAAATCTACCAGTTAACTTGAGCTTTGCTATAATGGTTGAAAATTGAGTAACTACATATTTAATTGCTGATGAAATTTGATTGTTTGTTTTGTAATTAGATGTTTTGCTGTTTTTCCCCACACTACCGAATGGAACTGCACACCAATGTAAGAGATATTATCTTTATTACAATTAATACAGAATATTTTTGGAATATGTGTGATACATACACACATATCAGTGGTTGGCACTGTACTATTTCAGCTTTCACAATCATAATCATTGTCATCATCATCATTACCCACACCATCATCACAATCATCACCATCACCATCATTATTATAGTCGCCATCATCATCATAGTCATCATCTCCACCTTAACCGTCATCATCGTCACTACCGTCATTAACGTTTCACATTGCCCTGTAAGTAATAATCACGCACCGGTCGTCCATAATGAGAAGGAGCACCATTTGATGGTAATGCAGAATCTGGTGAACCTGGTACCTAGCGGTTATTTTTTGCATTATCTCT